GCTCTCACAAAGTCTTCATGGCTCTGGAGAGTTTAAAATGGAAATTAAAACAGTTGTAACAACACTGAAATCAATTACACACATCTCACTAATTTTAAAGGAATGCAGACCTGAGTGTACACTGTGGCTGTCAAAGTCTGCATTAAATCACTTCATGTGTGGAAAGTCAATCATTCCCTCCCCTCACCCCCCCCACCCCTTCATGGGTACAATTGGCAATTGCAGCCTTCAATGTTGTATTCCTACAGAGACTTCTTTTCCCACCATCACACTCTTCTTGGTTCATGACACCTTGGGAAGAAAGAAGAAAAACATGGATAAATTCCACCCAGCCTCCCATAATTCCTATATACAATCTGCTGTAGAGGTGGTAGGAAGAGAGATAGTCAATTTATGCATCATTTGCTTGCAAGGTTCTTCCCACCCCAAATTTCTTTGGTCTAGGGTTTAACAGGTCTTGTTTTCAGAGTGTCACTGATGTACTAGCAATCTGCAATCTTCCAGACTTTGTATTGCCCACTGTAATGTGAAATTCATGACAGTTCCCAATATATTGGACCTTTTTTTAAAAAAAAAAATCCACTGTATAATGATAAAATAGAGCACAATAAGAACAATTGATTTTTTAAAAAAGGATTTCATCAGTGTATACAATGGATTTGTGTACATTGGTATGTTTGGAAGGGGGAAACACAAAACAACAGAAGCAAAACCATCATAAAATGTACTCAGTTCTGGAATTTATTTTTAGAAACTATCCTTCTAAAATCAGAAAGAATATACAGAAGAACATGAGGTAGAACACAAATAAAAAAGGGAGGATTGGGCAACATATCCTTTAATACTCTAGAAAAATAATATTTTTAACATTTCTTCTAATGTGAAAAAAAAATGCAAAGAAAAATGACTATAAATTGTTTACAACAAGTTTGGCAAATGGACTAAAAATAATTTTACAAGACTTTGTTCATGAAGATCAGTGTGGATTTTTACCTAAGAGACAATTAAGAGAACAGTACTGGATATTATAGAATATCTGGAACAGCGTAATGAAAAACAAGCAGTGCTATCTTTTTGGATGCAGAGAAAGCTTTTGATAATCTTAATTGGCCTTTCCTGTTTAAAGTTTTAGAAGATATGGACTTTGGTGAGTAGGGAGAAAGATTCTAACAGAGCCTAATCTGTGTATGTAAATTACATGCATTAATGAAGTTCATCCCACTTCACAAGTAATGTAGACCATTCAAGCTTTAATTGTGCCTTCTTGCACTTCATCTTGTGAGAGATGGATAAAATATGTTATTATTGACAAAGAAATAGTAGCTTGAGCATGCTAAGAGTGCAGCTGTGTGAGAGAGAA